TAACAACAATAAGTCATCAGCCGCTTTACTTCTTGTTGTCCAGTTTATCTCGAATAATGAAATCTACAAATACGATTTTTCTTGAATATTTATTTATACAAAATGGTCATTTTTTGAAAGTTCAAAACGGCCTCACGCAAAGTCTAATCAATGCTCGCACATCCATGCAACTTACTTGGTTAAATGTTCCTTGTATGTAGATTGAAGTACAGTGCAATTAACGCGTATAAAAATCTTTAAATACATTTTTAATCTGTGTACTAATTGTGAACAAATCTTGATTATCATGAATTATAAACTTCCTTGCGGAGAATCTGAGAGAACGCTTTAAAGGTTGTAGGGCAGGGGTTCCCAAACATTTTCAGGCTGGCGCCCCCTAATTTGGGTCCCTAATGAATTTCTAGCGCCCCCCACAGACACATATAAAACATACGCCTCTTTCTTGAAATTTAGTACGCTGCAATTTTAAAAGATAAAAGGTAAACACAAATGTGTATTTCACAAATAGAACCCCATTTAGTAAACCAATATGTTTTTAAGCGATTTTAACTGTTTCAGCACTAGAACCTGGGACGTCTCGGGCAAATGTATATACGGCCGTACTCGTGGCCGGTCTCACGACCAATCTCCAAATTATATTATCAAGTAATATCTCCCAAACTAATGAATGCAGCTCTATGAAACTTAGAACACGTATTCATCAGCACCTAACTGATTTTTAGCTCGTAAAAATTTTTAAATTTCACCTTCATTTGTGAGTAATATTGCGATAAAGGCCGAAATTCGCAGTGATCAAAGAATTTTTTTCAAACTACTGAATAGATTTGAACGAAATTTTTCTATTTTGCTTTCGTGCGCGAGTTATACAGATATAGGAAGAACGACCGGCTTTTCTACCGGCCGGTTTAACCAGGAGCCATTTATGTATATCCGAATTCGTATAGCCGTATAAGTCGCAAACGAAGGCAAAACGAAAAATTGTAGCGAGCTGAACATCACTGTTGCTGAGGTTAGGTATTTAAATACTAAGTTTCGTTCAAATCTATTCAGTAGTTTTGAAAGAAATTTATTGATTACTTCGAATTTAATTACGTATTGCTGTTGAAATCAAGAATGAAGGTGAAATAAAAAAATCGTGAACAAAGGCACAATCGAATAAATTTTCACGAGCTATACATTACCGTTCGGTAGTTAGGACTGTAAATTCAAAATTTCGTTCGAATCTGTTCAATAGTTTTCAAGAAATTTCTTGATCACTGAATTTCAGCCCGCATTGCCATATAACTATGGCAAAAACAAATGAAGGCAAAATTAAAAGAAAAATTCACGAGCTAAAAGTTACCGTTAGGTCCTAATAAATACGTGTACCAAGTTTCATCGAGTTGAGTTCATTAGTTTGAGAGATATTCCTTGATCATTGAATTTGGAAATTGGCCGTGATACCGGCTGCGAGTCCAGCCGTTAATTTGTCCGAGACGTAAACCCAGGAGAGGTCAAAAAACCAGATCTGGGTGAAAAAACCAACGCTGGGATTCATGATGTGCTGCACGTGTTGTAACTTTTATTTACTGTATCTAACCCGTACTAGTTCGGTTAGGTTAATTGCAATAAAATTGCATTGATATGTTTTCAAATGTTTTATTATCATTAAATGTTTATGAGTAAATCCCAATAGCAGAACAATAGCTATTTAGAGATTTCCAATAATTTTGGCAATTGTAGCGGCGCTACATTTTACTGTAGCGGTAGCGGTAGCGCCCGCTACAATCTAGTGGGTGTAGCGGTAGCGGTAGCGCCCGCTACAATCTAGTGGATGTAGCGGTAGCGGTATCCCCCAAACGAAGGTAAAACATAAAAATAACTGTAACTTTTATTTACTGTATCTAACCCGTACTAGTTCGGTTAGGTTAATTGCAATAAAATTGCATTTGATATGTTTTCAAATGTTTTATTATCATTAAATGTTTATGAGTAAATCCCAATAGCAGAACAGTAGCTATTTAGAGATTTCCAATAATTTTGGCAATTGTAGCGGCGCTACATTTTACTGTAGCGGTAGGGGTAGCGCCCGCTACAATCTAGTGGGTGTAGCGGTAGCGGTAGCGCCCGCTACAATCTAGTGGGTGTAGCGGTAGCGGTAGCGCCCGCTACATTTAGAGCATGTAGCGGTAGGGGAAGCGGCGCTACATTTCAAAGTAGCGCTGCCCAGCTCTGCGTATAAGGCGCATTTACATGGTAGCACATTTACCAATAGTTCACTGAGGCCGCCTGACTTCAAAATGTCAAAGTAAATAACTGTAAGATTTTCCTTAGCACACCATTATTGTAGTTTCCTCGCCCCAAAAAAGTTCACACAGATAATTATTCATTCAAATCTTAAGTTTGTAGCTCATGTCTTGGCTGTGCATGACGTTGAAAATGCAGCATGAAGTGCGTAATTGTATCTATTGTGATACAGGTAGCTAATTCAACACTCACGTTAAATGTGAAGAGATTGTTTCTAACTCAGGTGCGTCCAATCCTGAGTCGGGTGAGATTTCAGCCTGCGAGATTTAGGCAGAGTTAAGGTAGCAGTCTGGGTTCCATAATCAGGCCACTCAAAGTTCCTTTCTGAGACTGAGCAACAGTTGCTATCCATGTCCTAGTCCAGTGCTAGTGTACCATCACTGTACTTAGTCTGTGTTTCAGTAGGGGCATTCCGCGCTGGAGCGCCGCTATCAGCCTGGGTAGGCAAGTTGTCCTTGCCGCCGAGGTCTCAAGGGCCAGTCTGTAATTTCCAGGCATCTGTCCTCCATCGGGACATCTGAAGTACGATGTTGATTTGGACAGTGAGTGTCTCAGCTTCCCTTCTGAATGAATTCACAACATTGTACACGTATTGGTTGCGTTGAATTGAATTGGCGGCGACGGCATTTGGTCGCGTTAAATGATGGCGAATTTCCGCATTGAGTAATTCCCGGTACCGCCGTAAGCGAGGCTGTTTACTGGCATTACCGGTGCCGCCGTAACCGAGGCTGTTTACTGGCATTACCGGTGCCGCCGTAACCGAGGCTGTTTACTGGCATTACCGGTGCCGCCGTAACCGAAGCTGTTTACCATCATTATACCGGTGCCGCCGTAAGCTAGGCTGTTTACCAGCATTACCGGTGCCGCCGTAACCGAAGCTGTTTACCAGCATTACCGGTGCCGCCGTAATTGAGGCTGTTATCCGGTATTAAGGTGCTGCCGTAACTGAGGCTGTTCTTAATTGTTCATACACGCTGAAATTTATGAGTGGATTGATTGTCATTTCCCATGAATTCTTGATAACAAAATACGCTTCATCTCTGAATTTTCCCATGGTTCAATTCTTTGAAGAACAGCAACCTCGTTCCGCCGCAGCCACCGCTAAGCCCCGAACGTTCCAGAATTTTATTGTTGGCACTGCAGTCGCCTTAGCTGCCCCTGCGGTTAGCTGAAAAAATATTTGAATGCATCTTCTTTACTAAATTTATTGGTAAATTAAAGGATTCTAACGCTATCTATGACATATTGATTTTTGATATTGAATTAACGACATTTGTGATCCGGAAAAGAAGGGCAAAAATGCAGCCGAGGCTATTTTCCAACTTGCATGTGACCTATGAAATCAGCTGAAATCTTTAAACAAGTTGCGCTAGCGCTAATATTGCCGCGCAGAAGAACGCGAAAGCGATCAAAAGATTCCTTTGAAGTTGAAGGGCGTGAATTAAATTAATGTATTAGAAGTCTTTTATAGGTTCTAATGTTATTATTTGCTGTATTCACGATGGATTAATGAAAAATAATGTCCATAAATGGTGCAGTGATTTTATCCACCCCAATAAAATCTTTGACAGAAGGCGGGATTTGTAAAGCATTGGAACACAAGTTCAAATGCATAGCGTTAAATTAACGAAGTATTTCTGAATGACGAATATTGATTGCTGGTAATCTTTACTTCTATAAAGTAATCCTGTATGAAGTCGCAATGTTTTATTTACGGTCATTGTAAATTTATTCTGATCGTCGAACACGGCTGTAGATAGTCTGGTGACTCGAACACTACGGCGGTGCCACGTTTAGTCCAGTTGCGAAAAGTGAATATCATTCGTTAACATTCATCACTACGTTTTCATATCATATTACTATGCATATTTTTTTTCAAAAATTTACAAATAACGCGTGGAAATCGCTACGTTGCATAACTTAAAAAGGAGCAAGTGTAGCGGGAAGAAGCTACATCTCAACTCTTCAAGGTTTCTTGCCAGCGAGCCCTATACGTTTCGTGGACGATTGAAACGACTAAAGATGAAGTTCAAACCGATGTTTACTTTAGAGACTTGCAGGAATTAACGACACTTGAGCAGTCCAGATGACGTCGAACGTTTAAAAGATGTGACACTAAAAACACAGCAATGATTTGCACAATAATGGTAATGATGAAACGGCTCCCAACTATAATCAGACTACTTCAAAAGACAGTTCGGGTTGTATATTTTTCTCTTCGATCGCCTTACGCGGAGTGCGGCGGCTTGAAACCTACCCTATCGAAATTCGAAGACCTGTCAGCCGCTGGCACACGGACGCCCCAAGTTCTTATGACAGGGTAATTTAGAAGCTCTATGTCCGCTTTAGGTTCCGGTTGCCGTAGCGAAATAAGCGCCGAAATGGAATCTTGTGAAATCACTCGTCGGGCTTGGGGCGATCGTGGGGCGCGCATAATTGGTACCTGATACGTTCGGGACAGACACGGCCGACCCTAACAAGCGACCAAAAAAAAAGCCCCCTCCCTGCCCCCCTATTGGGAGGCAGGGAGGGGGCGCTTTTTTTTCTACATTCACCAGCACCGAACATAGTCTCACATTCAACGATAACAAACATCCTTTCACGTTCACAATAAATGACATATTTTCTGTAATGTTGGATTATCTACGCAGCCAATGAGCCGGAATATCCAGGCAATCACGGCTCAGTTCTTCAGATGTATTTATGGTGTTTTTCCAGCCGTCGCATTCCCAACGCTTGTGGATGCATCTGCCGTCGCCGCACTCGAAGTGGTAGCCAGTGCAGCCTGAGATAAGTTAGAAAAGCCGTGGATGTCGGGCTAACTAATTAATATAAATAACTAATTTTATGCAGGGTGATCGGGTTTCCTGAACGCGAGGCGATGAAGAATTTATTGGGGGGGGGGTAAGAATGCGATTCATGTCTTGTTTATACCATCGCATCAGAGGGGGTGGATATGTATCAATATGCAATGGGTTCAGCGCACCGAAAACTTCCTGTGGAAAGAAAATCTATGCCCCAGAAGAGGTTGAACTCGACATCTCGACTTTGGTCATAGCATGCTTGCGAAACATTGAAAGTAATTCAATAGTGAAACGTTGAAATTGAATGTAGTCGAGGAATAATTCATTTATATTCAAGAAAACAATTGAATGTTTAGAGCAGAAACCGATTCTTATTATAACTCGAAATAAAAGACAGTAAAATTGCGCGGAAGCGTTTGACTCATCTGACAACTCACAGTCGAGCTCGTCGCTGCCGTCGCCACAGTCGTTGTCTCCGTTGCACCGCGACGTCTCGCGTATGCAGCGGCCGGTGTTGGCGCACTTAAACTGATCAGAGCGGCACGCGTACGCACCTGCAATCACAAGTAATGCGGTATAGAATTAATTTCAGATAATGATATTTTTATCATGAGAAAAAGGTTTTTGTGTCAAGCATACCTTTCGTTTTAAAGTTTTCACCCTTGTATATCGTGAGATCTGAGAAATTTAGCTCGCAGTCGCTCATTTCCACAGTGAATTTGATGGTCTCATGGAGTAAATTTAAGTCCTTGATGAATGAGTGAATTTCAAGTTTATTTGCTTCACTTGCGATCAGGATATCATCTCTGTATCTCTTGTAAAACTTCATGTGGAAAGAAAATCTGGGTCATACGAGGTTAAACTCGACCACTCTACTTTAGTCTTGGCGTGCTTGCGAAACATTGACAGAAAAACGCTAGTGAAACGTTATAATTGAATGCAGTCGAGAAATAATTCATTTATATTCAAGAAAGTAATTGAATTTTTGAAAAGCATAAGCAGATCCCCATGTTAACTCGAAATGAAAAACAATAGAATTACGCGGATGCGTTTGACTTAACAGGCAACTCACAGTCGCGCTCGTCGCTGCCGTCACCACAGTCGTTGACTCCATCGCACCGCCGCGTCTCGTTTATGCAGCGGCCGCTGTCGGCGCACTTGAACTGATCAGAGCGGCACGCACCTGCAATCACAAGTAATTCGGTAGGTTGTGTAAAGACCATATGTATGAGAATATGTGAACACGGAAGATAAATCTTTGCAGATCAGGAAATAATCTTTTGTTATACTGACTTATATTTTATGCTATATTATCAATCTTCCTAACTATATACTGCTTCATCCGGATGTTCAGCTCAATTATGTTCTATAATCAGGGTTTCTGTTACAACTTTATAATGCTCTTGGATTTGCATTAACTAATGTTAAATTAATGGTCATTCTATCATTCCAACGGAGTTTACTGCACATGTACATAGTACTTCCGTAAGTAGAATTTTCGCACCTGATGAAAATCGAATGAACGTAGAATAATTAGGAAGAGGCGGGTGATTCATTAGCCGGGCTGGAGCTGAGCTCACCACAGAGTGAGTGTTTAGTTCCACTCAGTTCCCCATACACTTAGCCATCTCATTATTTTAATACCTACGCCGACTCATGATGTGATGACACACACACTTACTGACTCATTACATCAGCCGTGTACTCACAATGCTTCTCATCACTAAGCAAAAATTATGCAGGGAATGATTTAGAACTAAAGATACTAAAAAACTTAAGATCACCCCAAAAGAAGAGATAAAGATTGATGCAGTGCACGATCTCTCTGACCTGCTGGTTCTGTCGTGACGGCTGTCGCCGTAGCAGCAGAACATGCGTGGTTGTCATCAGCGGTGCAGCTTTGTACCTGCGAGTCATGGGACGTTTGTATTACCGCAACTGAACATATGATATGAAATTAAAAGGAAAATATATTATACCAATTTAAAAGGAAAACATATGATAACAATTTAAAAGGAAAGCATATGATACCAATTTAAAAAGAAAACACATGATACGAATTTATTCCGTAAGACAAAAATCATTGCAGAAAATAAAAGGATTTGAGATTGAGCTAGAATTGGTAAGAAACGGAGAGACTTTATTGAATAAATCCTGCCTAATTTCACACGTGATTTATTTAGTATCTCTAAAGTATTAGATACCAAATCAGTAATTTACAGGTTGAATTATTAGATGGGAACGAAGTAAGGAGTAGTTTTCAAGTAGAAAAATTTTAATAAATACATAATTTCTAATGTTTATGAAATTGAAAAAAAACTTAATTCTTATACAACCCTTGGCAAAAATTATGGAATCACTGGCCTCGGAGGATGTTCATTCAGTTGTTTAACTTTTTAGAAAAAAAAGCAGATCACAGACATGACATAAAACTAAAGTCATTTCAAATGGCAACTTTCTGGCTTTAAGAAACACTCTAAGAAAATAAGAAAAAAAATTGTGCAGTCAGTAACGGTCATTTTTTTAGACCAAGCAGAGGGAAAAAAATATGGAATCACTCAATTCTGAGAAAAAATTATGGAATCATGCAAAACAAAAGAACGCTCCAACACATCACTAGTATTTTGTTGCACCACCTCTGGCTTTTAAAACAGCTTGCAGCCTCTGAGGCATGGAAACAAACGGTACTCTTCATCAATCTGCCTCCAATTTTATCTGATTGCTGTTGCCAGATCAGCTTTACAGGTTGGAGCCTTGTCAAGGACCATTTTCTTCAACTTCCACCAAAAATTTTCAATTGGATTAAGATCCGCACTATTTGCAGGCCATGACATTGACCTTGTGTGTCTTTTTTTCAAGCAACGTTTTCACAGTTTTTGCCCTATGGCAAGATGCATTATCATCTTGAAAAATAATTTCATCATCCCCCAAACATCTTTTCAATTGATGGGATAAGAAAAGTGTCCAAAATATCAACGTAAACTTGTGCATTTATTGAAGATGTAATGACAGCCATGTCCCCAGTGCCTTTACCTGACATGCAGCCCCATATCATCAAAGACCTGTCTCTTATACACATCTAGATGTGTATAAGAGACAGCCTCATATTCTCTGAGTCACGACGAACATTTTGGTATATAATATGACCCGATAAAAAATTGTTTTATATTTTATTTATTCAATTTTCCATGAAAATTTTACCTTTTTGTCCATAAATTTGTTGAACGACTCACCAAAAATCTGAAACTTCTTTGTACGTGTGCACTGATTCATACAGA